ACAATAGTAATATATTTCTGCCGCAATGCCTTCAAGTTAACCAAACTTTTATTTTGACGGGTTGCCGTGAATACTTTTACATTTGTGTGTGTATATATGAGGATAGTTTTACTCAAATGAAACGGTCAAATTCTGGAGATGTTTTTCATATATTTATGTCCTCGTTAGTGAGACGGCAGACGCTGAAATCACCGGAAGCTTCACGCGCGCTTCAGTACGAGTAGTAAACAAAACCGCGCGTCTGCGCCGTTCATTGACACGGAGACATGCAGAATTCATTTAAATATGAATCGTTTTGCTGCTTAATATTTACAAATACTAGTGGGAGTGGGCTCACGTGTGTGTGTGTGTGTGTGTGTGTGTGTGTGTGTGCGCACGCGCGAGAGAGCGCGACCATAACGTAGAGACCGAAATGATATGCCGTCGTGTAAATAAGATAAAAAACATAAGGCTATTTAGTTTGCTTAATAAAAGAACAAGGTATATAGACCTGTTCTATCGGAAAGATAACTTGTTGTGATGACTTCTGTTGTGATCTGGCGCTATAGAGAAAATATAATTAAATCAAAATAACTTGACTTCAAGGGGGGCGGGGGGCGTTGGGGGGGCGGGCCGCCCCCCTAATATAATGGCAGGGGAAACACTGCTGTAGGACTATTTAAAGGATTAGTTCACACAAAATTGATAATTGCTTACAAGCTCTAGCCAATAACATATCATAACAAACATGTAAATACGCTCTGTCTTCCATCTAACACAAAAGAAGAAATACTACTGTATAAGTACATGTAGCTCTTTTTTCTTGCAGTTAGAATGAATAAGCACTGGAGCATTCAAGCTTCAAAAGGTTACAAAAGCATCATGAAAATATATGATTTCTGCACTATATTCCAAATCTTATGAAACCATTCGAAAGCTTTGTATGACAAACATAATGATATTTAAGTTACTATTCTCTGAGAATCTTCCCCTCCAGTGGGCTATTCACTGCTGAGTCAGTAAGTTAAACTTGAGAAATGGACCAAACTGATTCATTAGAAAGACCTGACTTAGTCAAAACAATGATTCAGTCACCGTTTGGACATCGCACTTACTGTCATGAGCTTGTGTTGAATAACGACTTAAATTCTGACCTTTTGCCAAACAAATCTATCATAGGAATACACTATATTCTGAATCTTCTGATGCCATACAATAGCTTTGCGCAACAAACAGACCAAAATCTAAGTTATTATTCTCTGAAAATCACTGAGTCAGTAAGTTGAACTTGAGAACTAGGCCAGACTGATTTATGAACAGATCATTCAGACCAGTTTTATGAACCAGCTCAACTGATTCACTGAAAAGATCGGATAAAATAATAAAAAAAAAAGAATCATTCACAGTTTCTCATAAACTTGTGTCAAATAATGACTTAAATTCTGACCGCTTGTCACACAACTCTATGAATATAGTGCACAAGTCACATGAATGGTTTCTATGCATTTATGGATAAATCTAAGATTACGAGATTAAAGTCATAATATTTTGTGAAAAAAAGTCAATTATGAGAGTAAAGTCATAGCAATATGAGAATAAAGTCAAAATATGGACTATATTTTGGAATATGGATTTGGAATATAATGAATGTATTCGAAGACGTGAAATATTATTTCCAAGCATACTGTCCCTGCATGTATATGACACATGGTATGATTTCTGCTAATAATTCACATATATTCAAATCAGTTGCCAGGCCACCGGAATTTCTCCCAGTGCTCCCAATCCGGGCCATTTGTATGTGCAATATAGGCTATACTCTAAAATATTATAACTTTAATCTCGTAATTGATACGACTTAATTCTTGTAATTTTGAATTTATTCTCAAAATATTTCGACTTCATTCTCGTAATTTCGACTTTATTCTCAAAATATTTCGACTTTATTCTCAAAATATTTCAACTTCATTCTCATAAACTTGTGTCAAATAATGACTTAAATTCTGACCGCTTGTCACACAACTCTATGAATATAGTGCACAAGTCACATGAATGGTTTCTATGCATTTATGGATAAATCTAAGATTACGAGATTAAAGTCATAATATTTTGTGAAAAAAAGTCAATTATGAGAGTAAAGTCATAGCAATATGAGAATAAAGTCAAAATATGGACTATATTTTGGAATATGGATTTGGAATATAATGAATGTATTCGAAGACGTGAAATATTATTTCCAAGCATACTGTCCCTGCATGTATATGACACATGGTATGATTTCTGCTAATAATTCACATATATTCAAATCAGTTGCCAGGCCACCGGAATTTCTCCCAGTGCTCCCAATCCGGGCCATTTGTATGTGCAATATAGGCTATACTCTAAAATATTATAACTTTAATCTCGTAATTGATACGACTTAATTCTTGTAATTTTGAATTTATTCTGAAAATATTTCGACTTCATTCTCGTAATTTCGACTTTATTCTCAAAATATTTCGACTTTATTCTCAAAATATTTCAACTTCATTCTCGTAATTTTGACTTTATTTTTAAAATATTTCGACTTTATTCTCGCAATTTTGACTTTATTCTTAAAATATTTTGACTTTATTCTTAAAATATTTTGACTTTATTCTCATATTGCTACGACTTTATTCTCAAAATATTTCGACTTTATTCTCAAAATATTTCGACTTTATTCTCAAAATATTTCGACTTCATTCTCAAAATATTTCGACTTCATTCTCAAAATATTTCGACTTTATTCTCATATTGCTATGACTTTATTCTCGTAATTTTGACTTTTTTCAAAAATATTATGACTTTAATTTCGTAATCTTAGATTTTTTTTAATTTAATTTAACGTGGCACTATAACGCATCGTACAATTATATTAAAAAGTGTGTCCAGAATAATATTCCACAGAACAAACAAAGTCACACATGTTTGGACCAACATGAGGGTGAGGAAATAATGACACAATGTTTGTTTGGGGTAAACTATAGCTTTAAATGTTAAAAAAATATTAAAAGATGACTAAATATAAATACACTGTACAGTAGAACCTGGAGACATTTCTCTTGTAGTGTGTGTGCTGTGGGTGAACATAAAGGCCAAAACATAAAGCGCAATGACAAATACTGAAAACAGTCAGCAACAACCGTGGATTTACATGCAGGTGTATCAACAAACCAGGGCTTATCGACTTCCCATGCATGTCCTCCTGTGTACTTAAGACCAAATGCACAAAAAACACTGTAAGCCTCATTAAGCAAAACTCATGTGATCATGTACAAGGCAATAGATTTACACCATTTAAAATGAAAACGAAAATCAGCTGTAGAAAAGCCAAACAGAAAAAGCACTAACGAGTCATTACAAATGAAGGCAATACCATGATTTTGGACCTGAAATATAGCAATACCACGTCTATGGACATTACCATGATAGTACCATGGTATTCGTTAACATATGTTAATCACTCAGTGCCATGAAATATATCAAAGTGTTGGTGCTTTTATATAGCATGGTAGGCTATTGCCATCTCCATAGTAAGGATGACCATCCCTAAATAACCTCTGGAAAAATCTGTGTGCCTGAAGTGAATGCATTTAAACGTTTAAGGAAATGTTACTGTCCTTCCCCGAGATGAGTGAATAAACAGGAAGATGATCATACAAATCCACCTACCCTTCACGTCGCCTGCCAGTGCTTTCCATGTAGGCGAGTACTGGATACAGTGGCCGCACCACGACGAGTAGAACTGAAGCAGCCAGGCGCTGGAGGAGTTGAACACGGTCTGCTTCAGGCTGTCGCTGCCCAGTATAACCACTGGATCCTCTTCAGTGTATAATCGAGCTGACTGAGCCTGTCCGAACAGCAGCCCCAACAGAATACCGATCTTAAGGCGAAACGCAACTGCCATTGGAGGTGATGGAAGAAACGCCATACAATTTGAAACCCCTCACTTAAGTGAATCCTCTACATTCAGACTGATTCTGCTCGCTCCTATGGATGACTACATTTAGTGGGGACGTGAGTCTTCTGGAGCATCGTCACTGCGCTACGAGGACGCAGACGCTTATGTCGCGCATCCTATCTGCGTACGGGCGACGCATATCGTGTATGTGGAGTTGTTAACTGAATAATAACTCTTCGGTGTATGGTACTCTAATAGAAGCAAAATTAAGCTCTTTATATTATTTGTATCATTACTTGAAAAAAAAAAACACCACACGTGTTGCTATGAATGAAATATATATTTCAGCTTGATTGTACTGTAATACAAACACATAGATTTTGAATTTATTTTTAAAAATAATGATTAAAAGATTCATGATGAAAAACAAAGAGTAAATCTCACAAAGACAGGTTAATGTAACATGTCACCCCAAAATCAAAAGAAATATATAGAGATTTTGCATGCAGAAGATTTTACTTTTTTTTTTATTTTGATGAGCGTTTTGTCGCATTGTATGACCACGAAGCACATTCCGACCTGAAATTCTCATAAATGTAATATATCAGTGCATTTACTTTTGAGTTTTTGTAATTCCCATTATTCTACATGATGATTTGCAGGTTATCATTACTGTAATACAGTATTATATTTAATTCATTACAATAAACAAATGACATATTTTTTTAATTTAAATTAGAAGATATTAAAAGCAGTACAACCAATACTAATATAACATATAAATACTTTATCATTTAAATAATATATAATTTCTTAGAATTTCAGTATTGAGATGAAATTTTTTTATTAGCCTACAGTAATTGCAAAAGTGCAAATTAGGTGAAAATCTGCTTAATTGTCATGAAAATAAGTTCACAATGCGAGAAAACTTAATGGTCCTAAAACAGGTTTATGGGTTTATACATTTATGTTCTTTAACAAAATATAATTTATGAAATATGTGAAATATTTTCTTGACAGGATTTTTGAGACTCGCCGAAAAAGAAAATAACAACATATCAAAGATGTATGAAAATGTCAAGATTCTGAAACTTGTCTTTTAGGTTGAAAAGTACATATTATTTATGGCTAATATTGTGTCATCCAAAAGAAGGCTGAAAATCTCCTCAGTCAGATGCATCTTCACAGTGTACTGATCAGCTCTATAGTCTAGCCAAGTTCTCTCCTCATTATGAAGTTCCTGAATCTAGAAGTAGATAAAAAGACAAAACGAGACATTTTTAGTTCTACCATTTACTGCAGTCTTAAATAATATTTGAGCTGAAGTTACACCAAGACCACTAATTTCATAAGCAATTATAAGAGTGCCTTTACACACACCAGTATAAAGTCCACTCTGTCTCTCTTGGCATACCAGTATTTGCACAGTTTTTGGAGCATCTCTGTCATCTGTTGCTCACTTCGCTCTAAATTCAGAATTTTCTGTATCTCTTTTCTCATGGCAGCCTGCAAATAACATTAGATTAACAAACTGTAAATGTTCTTAAAAGTACTTTCATCAAAATGTTAGTTCAACAGAAAAAAATAATAATGAAATACCTTTAAAAATGTGACTGAAATTTGACTGGATTGCAGGGCTGTGATCACAGATTGATCATCTATATTCTGGGCAGATTGTTTTGTCCTTAACAGATCACCCCAAATCTCATGAAGTACATCAGATGTTAACTGAAAGATCACCTACAGTGTAAGATGAACAAGGTTTAGATCAGAGTTTTGGTTCTCTCATTCATTTATCATTTTTATAGTCATTTGTTATGTACACATTCCTACATAGACAAACCTGCCGATAACGTTTGCGACTATCATCGTCTATTAAATAGCTTGGTGTTTCATAAAGGTCAAGAGTGTCTTTATTTGCTTGGCCACACAGAATCTCCACTGCAGCATCCACTAATCTGTACACGATGCTGTCTTCATGGGGCGGCACCTTTATATTTGGTGGCATGTCCGGTTGGGCCTGATGCCACTGCTCCAAGACACATGGCATAAAATGGCCATCCTCACTTTTTCTGACATCCTGAATATCAAAGAGAGAAAAGTGCAGTAAAAGTAAAAAAAACAAAAAAAAACATTTTACATTGATTCAAATTTCATGCACAGATACTATTTTACACAGATTTTCTATTATTCTTCACTAAAGCAAATTCTACAGTTGTTTTGGCAACTTACAGTATCTGTAGATTGATTGTCATGCAATGATTTAATTCTATGTCTCTTTCTGTTATCCTGAGGACAGTGAACTCCATCTCTATCCAGCTCTTCTGTCAGCTTAGTATCTGCACGATGCCTATTTTGATGGAGCTCAAAGTTGGTCTGTAAAATATAGGTGCTCAGTGATAGATACAATTGCCATATGCTTCATATAGTTTGTGAAAAACGACGTTTGTGAAAGCAATAGCTAACCAAAAATGAAAATTCTGTCATCATTTAATCGTTCTCATGTAATTCAATGCCTGCGTGACTCTGTTTGCAAGAATGTTGATGCTCCCCTTTTCTATACAATGAAATCATACTGTGAACAGAGGCTGTTGAGCTCAAGTAAAAACAAACAGCACCCTAAAAGCACTATTAAATCAGTACATACAGTATCTCACAGAAGTGAGTACACCCCTCACAGAGAGAGTGAGAGCGATAAAACCAAATTTAACCCACCCGCTCCCCATTCACACCTGAGACCTTGTAACACTAATGAGTCACATGACACCGGAGAGAGAAAATGGCTAATTGGGCCCAATTTGGACATTTTCACTTAGGGGTGTACTCACTTTTGTGGCCAGCGGTTTAGACATTAATGGCTATGTGTTGAGTTATTTTGAGGGGACAGCAAATTTACACTGTTATACAAGCTGTACACTCACTACTTTACATTGTAGCAAAGTGTCATTTCTTCAGTGTTGTCACATGAAAAGATATAATAAAATATTTACAAAAATGTGAGGGGTGTACTCACTTCTGTGAGATACTGTAAGTCTTATGCTACTGCTACTGTCAAAAAAATCGTACTGACCTAAAATTTTTTGAATGGTAGTGTACATGCTTCCACTATATGCAAAAGAGTTACATTTATCTTAAGATCTCCTTTTGCGCTCCAAAGAAGAAAGAAAGTCAAACAGGTTTGGAACGACATGAGGGTGATTAAATGGTTCAAGAATTTTCATTTTTGAGGAACTATTCCTTTAAGTGCTTGGTGTTGCTTACTCTTGGTGAGGGCATTTCAGAGGGATGTGAAAGGTTTCTTGCTCCACCTGACGTGTCTTCCTGAGGTTTATTTTTTTGTCGTGCGTGTGTAGTATTTGAAGGTATGGTCTCATCTCTAGGAGGACACTGACTATGTCCTCTTCGTCCATCTGCCAATGATGTGTCCTTCTGTTGTTTATCTCTCTTTGCCCTAGGCGGCTCCTCATCTGAGAAGGGATCTTCATCCACCTCCGTCTCTACATCACTGCTGTGTTCTCTTTGTATGTGTGCAATGTCCTCAGCTCTGACCAGGACACCGTGGCTTTTGTCACAGCTAAAGTACTTCACACCTCTAAAAGTTCCATCGTGGTTTCCGTTAGGGGCATCCAAAGAAACACCAGCCCAAAACCCATTCGCAAACGCCACGAGACCTTTATATTTCAGCACACCCGGCCTGGAGTTACACACAAGAACTCTGTCTCCAATTTGAAAGGAGGACAATGTATCTGAGATTTCATTGCTCACATCTTCAGGAAGTGAGCTAGTGTACTCCGAACAGTCATTTTCCTCTGCGTCCTCACACAGAGCTCCATAAGTATCATCGTTTGCCTCCTTTTCCCTCAGATTGTTAGAGTCTAGACTTTGAGACTCTTTTCTTTTCAGAGTGAAGTCCACAGGGAGAGGAGGGAGGTTCTCACTGTTAATTGAGAGATCTTCCACAGAATCAGGTGGAGCTGGAAGTTCCTCCTCACTGGTCCATGTAATAATTTCAAAGGCAGGAGGAGGAGGACAACCGTAGCTGTCAAGACCTGATGCGGCTCCTCCTTTAACGGATGGAGGGAGTTCTGCACTTCCGTAAGACAAAACCTCATCTACAGGAGAGAGAATTTCTGACAGGGTCGACTCTACAGTCGGTTGTCTTTCGTAATGTGGCGGTGTACAGCGTTCTTCCTGTTTATTGTTCAAATAAGGCTGAAAATCGTCTAGTACAACAGTGTACTCTTCTGCAAAAACTAAAGAGCAACTACTTGCTTGAGCTGCTTCAATCTTCTCCTCATCGAGATAATCCTTTTCTTCTTCAGACCAAGCGAGTGCTTCACTATGAAATGAAATTGCCTCTGACTTCTCATCTATCTCAGACAGACTGACATCACAAGATGGACTATCCTCAGCCTTTCTTATTTCCACACATACTGCTTCCAGAATTAAGGTTTCAATAAGTGGATTGTCTGTGACAGTCTCATTTGTACACGCCTGAGTTTTTTGTTCTGGAAATTCATTGGTTTTATCAGTTTTGGAGTATGAAAGAGATGACTTCCATTGCCCCCCGGCATTCTGGTCACAGATATTGTGGTTGTTGTTCAGGGTCAGCACACGGTGAAGTCTCTGATCGTTCTGTACATTTAGAGCTGTGGTATCTAGTGTTGTGCTGCCATGGACCACGTTTGTCGTCTTTATGTCCTCTTGCTCCTTGGGTTTAAGATGGCTATTTTTAGAGTCCAATTGGAGATGATCATCTTTGTCAGATGACAAACTGGATACTATTGGGGCTCTGAGTGAATCTGAATGAGGTTCATGGTTGAGTGTGAAATGCTGGATATTTAATACCGGCTTCATTGGCACTTTAGCTGGATGTTGTGGTCTTTCTTTCTTGAGTGTGCATGTGTCCTCATAAAGACCTTGAACCTTCTTCTGAGTGTCTTGTTCTGAAAGCAATGTTCTGAAAGTGTTATCAAATATTCTCTATTGTCAAAAATCCTAAAGGAATGCTAATGGAATTTATAACATAATTTGGAACCACTCCCAACTAAACCTTTGCCAAGCCCCAGCCTTAAACCATTACTAACCAATCCTACTTCGCAACCACTCTTGAACAAGTTCACTGATGTGGTTTTGTAAATCTGTAGAAATGATTTTTTTTTTTAATTTGTAAAAATGTAAACGGAGTCTATCTACGTGTTTGGATAGTTTTAAATGCAATTTAATAAAAATCAGACATTTATGCTGGAACACTTTTATAGTACCGAGAGAGCATGAAAATTTTATTTTTTCATTTTCCAAATGTTTCTGAAGAAGTTCATGGATTAAACTGCCACCCTCACTCACAAATGAACATGTAGTTTAGTAAGAATATCTATACTTATTCCGAGATCATTTAATGTTATGAAACACGGCTAATGTAACATCAGTTTAAAAAGTACAGCCAATAACAACCAACATACTGCATTATTATAAATCTCAACGCTGGTAACATACACTGTCGTTCAAATGTTTGGGATCAGTAAGATTTTTTATATCTTTGAAAGAAGTCTCTTCTGCTCAGTGCTCACCAAGGCTGCATTTATTTTATCAAAAATACAGAAAAAAAACAGTAATATTGTAAAACATTATTACAATTTAAAACAACTATTTTCTATTTTAATATAATTTAAAATATAATTTATTCCTGTGATGCAATGCTGAACTTATCACCCATTACTCCTTTTCTTTCTTTTCTTCAGTCTTCAGTGTCACATGATCCTTCATAAATCATTATAATATGTACCCCCCCCCAGTGCACGCCACAATTTATAGTAAATTGTTCAATTTCAAATGAGGCTTATAAAAATCCTATTCCTATAGGATGTTCTGTAATTTAAGCTGAGTTAGCAACAGTAACCAGGAAAAAAAACTACTTTTTCTTCCAAATTTAGTTCATGTAGTCCGATCTTATTTGATTCTAAGAGAAACTCTCTTTTAGGATTATTTTTGACTTTTTTGACAGTGTAACTGTTTTCCAGTTTTGCATTGTTTATGTGCAGTCATATGCTATAAATGCCACAGTAAATCAGTATGGGCATTGAGTCATTTCTCTCACAGCATGAGTCAGCAGAAACTAGACACACTGTAAATCAGCACTCACAATGAACTGCAGTCCACTAAATAACAAAAGATAGACATCTATCAAAGAGAAAGTCTGTGAAAAAGTAAAATCAGACTGTATGATGTCTGACTGCTTTCTTTTACTGTCTGAAACGAAGACGAAGCCTGATAATTAAATGTTCAATTAACATACACAATGTGTCATGGAAAGCTTCGAAAGCCAAAAAACACAGAACCTTCTACCCACCATTAACTTCAGGTCCTGATTTCACAGCCTTCACAGAGTCACGCTGACATGAAGTGTTTCCACCTTCAGTCTTGCCGATTCTTTCTGGGCTGATAAGGTGAAGGGAAGCCTGGTTCTGTCGGCTGTACCTGTGAGAGGGACTGGCTGGAGGATTATTTGATTCTGCGACTTGCAGAATATCCTGCTCGGCCGGGACGAATTCAACTTGGTGCCTCTTCCTTCCTAAAGTCCACACTTCATCTGATGATAACAGCCTCCTCAAACCTGCCTTGCTCAATAAGCTGAAGGAAAACAAGCAAAGTTTGAACTCACATTTGAGGCCTCATCATTGAAAGTAACATTTCACAATCATTTTACAAAATATATTATGAAAAACAATTACCAAAAAGTAGTATACTTCAAGTTTATTTTAGTAAGTATATCTGAAAGCAGGTGATGGCGATTTACTACTAATCACAGGACCGGCTTTACTGACAAGATGCGCATGACAATCGCATGCGATTAATTGCACAGCCCTAATATATATATATAGTACTGTTCATTAGTAAATCATGTTGTTCATAATAGATTGAAATATTAAATGTATTAGTAAATACTTTTAAAAATAAAAGTTCCAAAAGGGGGGTAGAAGAACGATATTGGGTTCCCCAAGAAACCTTTCAGTGAACATGTTTTTTCTTAGTGTAAAGAATATTTTTGTAATCAAAAGAACCGTTTTCCACTCTGTAAAATTTTTTTTTTTCAAAGTTGTAATTAATTGCAATTATTAGAGTATGTTATATGCATTTTAGCAATTACTACTTCAAAATGTCATGTTTAATTCAGTGTGTTACTTGCTGTATTTGTTAAATGTATTTGTTAAATTTACTAGCAATTTCTGAGTGAAAATTGTTTCAAAGCAAATCCTGCAGTGGAAATGTTCCATGATGTTAAATATTCAATCAATGCTAATAAAAAAAAACGTTATTTTTAAGAGTGTATTTAAACATAATTGTGAAGCTAGATTAATAAATGCTGAATTAGTATTATTAATTGATTAGTTTGTGATACCTAATGAACTAACTAATGTTAAACTTAGTAAAGTCTTGCCCTTATAATTATAACATCAGTTTTTTCAGCTAACAATGGCATCTTTATCCCATATGAAAGAAAAGACATCTTCTGAAATATGAGATCTAATAGAATCTTTTTTTTTTTGGTAATTTTGTGCAATTACATTAAGCTTGGACTGAGGCTTTCAGCTTCGAACAGAAGCCTCAGGCTCCATTCATTGTAATTACTTGGAAAAAGTAAATAATGTACTTTAGTAAATACTTAGGATGTTAATTTTTGAGTGAACTACTGCTTTAATTTTTTATATTAAATTATATGACTAACAAAGAACTAATGCCTACTCATGCAAATAGAGAGAGAGTGAAAGAGCAAGAATCAGAGAGAGAGAGAGAGAGAGAGAGAGAGAGAGAGAGAGAGAAATGCCGTCCACCTACCCTGACATGTTCATGACTGGCATACTGCCATCACAAAGGGACTCAGTCGCGAGCAAGCAGCCAGAGGAACAGTTGACTGTCCTCCTTCAGGTCCCCTGTGAGACGCTGCTGCCACTCCCCAAATATTGTGTCAACTCGCAGTTGCAGTCAAGCCGGTGGCTGAGAGAGCAGTCATCCTGCATCTCTGTCTACAGCTATGCCCTCTTTTTATTCTCTTTATCTTCCTCCTGCTTGCTTCTCTCGCTCTCTTTCATCCAATAACTCTCTCCTCCCATCCAGCCTCCCCCTCCTCTCTCTCACTCACTCACTCGATCTATCTGTCTCCACTCTATCTCACCGACTTCCTTCCATTTCTCTCTCTCTAAGGGTAATTAGTCTGAGTGGTGCATTGTAGCAAGACAGACAGTAAATGCTGTAGATAACAAGCTCATGATATGCACACACTTCTCCTCTGCTGTGTGTCATGCAGGATTTGCCAGAGAGTAAGTGGTACACTGCAGCATTTCCTCTTGAGGTGTTACCCTACATAAATGTGTTGGCACTGCCTCTGCTTACTGTATATGGGAACTAAATATCCCAATACTCCTCTGTGTAAGTGTATGATAATAAATAATGGAATAATAGTGATCACACTTGCCTCCCTTCCTCTCTTGGTGCTTTATCTGTGCTTCTAGCATCTGGCTTAATCCCAAGCTGCATAACACCCTCTTCCTCCTGCAAAACATCAGCATAAAAATCAGTACTGCTAAATGTGGCATCTGAGCATTATGGGTAATTACGTATCACATGGTTTTGCACTCCTGTTCAGTTCATCAACATTATTGCTGCAGTGACAACACTGAGAACTGTTGCAGTTTGGACTTGGTTAAAGTCAACATGAAATCAAAATCCGCCCTATTTAGTTTTTTGCTAAGATCATATATTATCAGTTTATTATTATTATTATTTTGTCTTGTTTTCAAGTGCAAATATCTATATATCATTAAATCAATACACATTTACTTGAGAACTGGGTTATTATAGTTAAGTAAAATAAATAAAATAAACAATAACATTAAAATAAAAAAATGAAATTTTATTTTGAGTTTTGTTTTTAAATAAGCAAATTTTTTTTAATCTCAGAATTACTTTTAGTTATTTTAGTACATCAAGTCAAATGAAAACGAAATGTTGCCTTGGCAATGAGTTGAAATAAAATAATTTTTAAATATATTATTTTATTTCAGTTAATGTTTATTTATTAGTTTTAACCTTGAGAAGCAAAATGGCCTAAGATATTAAGTCTTGTTTTCTGATAAATATAGCAAAATAAAGTAAGTTTATGTTTAAAATAAGAAAAATATCTGTCAAGAAAATTAAACCTAATTCAAAAGGAAAACAAGATTAGTTTCTGATTTGTGGAATACCATAGTACTGGCAGTGTTCTCCGGCTTGGTAATTCCATTTTTCTTTGGCAGAGTCTGCATCTGCAGCACTTGTCTGAAGCAAATAGCTGACTGTTTGATATCAAGAATATCTCTTTGATGGAGGAGAAGCAACCGTCTCTGCTGCCGGCCTGATCTGTACATGTTTCGCCAGTGGTGGATCTCTGCCTAAGATAAATAAATCAGCATAGATAAAAATACATCTATTATTCTCTCTGTAATGTCTGTATTGTCTTATGCTCACCAAGGCTACATTTATTTGATCATAAATACAATAATAATAGTAATATTGTGACATATTATTAGAGTTTAAAATGTGTTTTCTGTTTAATTACATATTAAAATGTAATTTATTCCTGTGATGGCAAAACTGAATTTTCAGCATTACTCCAGTCTTCATATGATTCTTCAGAAATCATATGCTGATTTTGGTCCTCAAGAAACATTTCTTATTATCAGTGTTGAAAACAGTTGTGCTGCTTAATACTTTTGTGGAAACCATACTTTTTTATAATGAATAGAAAGTAATTTTGTTTGTAAAAATATACAGCCAATATACCGATCAATTTAATCCATCCTTGCTAAATAAAATGATTAAAGTCAAAACAAAACAAAACAAAACAAAACAATAAAATAAAATAAAATAAAATAAAATAAAATAAAATAAATTAAATAAAATCTTACTGACCCCAAACTTACCTGGTCTTGTCGGAATCTGTGAATTACTTCCTCCTGTTTCTGCCTGAGTTCAGTCAAAGCAAGTATATCATCTTGTGCTTTTTCAAGACTGATGAAAATAGATGTGTTATATGAATATATGGACAGGTTACATGCAATGACTGCAACAATAACAGCAAACTTATATAAATATTCCAACATCAAATATTTGCCCATATGAATAAGTGGTAACAAATAATAATAATAAAATAAAAAAATTAACAAATTGCATCAGTCATGAAATTATGAGAACAGCTATGATGATACAGAGTAAAATGCAGTATTGCACTTCCAGTAATAGGAGGATTATTGAAATTATTTTTTTTAATTTTTAAATTAAATTATTACTTTCTAATTATTTACGAAAATGTAATCAGTTCAGTTAATTAATCACCTCAAGCCCACATGTGCAAATAAAAGAAGAGAAAAACAATTAATACATAATGACTCACATGTTTTCTGTTCTACTGAATCAAAGGTTGAACATGCTCGACTCGAGACCAGAGTGGTGTTGTGAAACGTGCGATTTACGTATGTGATCATCAGCAGACTGATGTGATAATAAGGCTCTGCCACTGCTAACACATTACTGCTTTTCTTATACATTTTGAGTATAGTTATCCTTTCTCTATATCCTGCTAGTACTACCAATTTTTCCACTAGATGCATCAGTAATCTGATTATATCCTTTTATAATGTAACTGTAAAGAAATCTTCTTTTTTGGGGGGGATTCTGATCATGTAACATTATTACACGTTTTCTGTTACTGACCTCATGCAATGCTCCAACCAGTCAAGCTCAGCTTGCGTCTTCTCCCAGAGCGCTTTCTCTCTGAGCCTAAAGAGGGCGCTGTACTGCCGTGCCCTCAGCTCCTCTTCCCTGAGGAACTGCTGGCTCTGGGCCAGGGAAAGGTGACTGTGGAGCCGCTGGCTGTACAACTCACTTAGCTCACTCCACTACAAATTGCATTAATAGAGGAGCCAGACATAAATGTGCGTTCAATACTTTGACATACACTTGCCTTACACGGCCTTTAGTGCACATATGCAATTTGTGATTCTGCTACAGACAGAGTCTATCCTATCGAAAGTACAATGGTACAGTGATGGTATTGTATAGTAATTTAATATTTAGTTATATAATAAACATCATACTAAATAATTACCAAATTCATTTTGCATGGTACTCCAAGGTTTTTCGAAGAATACCATGGTACTAACACAAAACATGTTATCGCTATGGTAGGGTAAGATAGGGAAAGAAGCTCCCCTTAAGAACTATGTGCATTTACTTTTAAATTGTAACATGTTTAGAGGGATGATGATGCATCAGTCATTGTGTTATTAATGGAAGTAAATAGAAACACACACAGATTTTTTCTAAGTGTCATTAATATAAAATACTAAATCAACTTTTGTGCTTTATTCAGTTTAGTTGAATAATATAATACAGGCATATGAATATATGAAGAGTTCAGATGCAAAAGCCTCTAAGTGCATCTGACCATTTTTATCAGGCTCCTATATTTATGTTCAGTTCTTTCACTTTAATGGCACAGAAAATGACCCATATATTGCCATTAAAGTAAAATGACTGAACCTAAACATAGGAGCCTGATAAAAATGCTGACAGCACTTAGAGGCTTTTGCATCTGAACTCTTCATATACATATTTAAAAGCCCATATATTAATTTCAGATATACTATAAAGACAAGACAATGAATTAAAATGGAATGATTTCACTCAATTAGTCTAAAGGTTTTAATGAATAGCAAAAATGTAGGTCTAACTCATGGAATTAATGATGAATAATAACCCCATATTACATATTGTGCCAATTCTGTTGCCCACAAATCCCTCCTATAGGGTGTCAAATTGATTAATCGCGATTAATCACATCCAAAGTAAAAGTTTGTGTTCACATAATATATGTGTACTGTGTATATATATATATATATATATATAAATACACACATCTGTATAAGAAATATTTGTTGTATGTATAGATTAATCACATCCAAAATAAAAGACATACATGTCTATATTTAAGAAATATATGTAATGTATATTTATATATAAATCATATATAAATATGAATATATATACACACACGTAAATATTTCTTAAATATATACATGTATGTGTGTACAAATATAGACAGTACACAGATGTATTATGTAAAAACAAACTTTTATTTTGAATGCGATAAATCACGATTAATCGATTTGACAGCCCTAAAATAGACAAAAAAAAGTGTAATATTCTACTTAACACAATGTCACAGATCACTGTTTCCAAAGACAAAAATGACATCAATTAACCTCAAAATAGTTTTGATTGACTAAATGTCACAAATGTTGACATTCAAATGAAGAGACAATTTAGGAGAAGCACAGCCATTCCTTAAATATGTTGAGATGATAGTAAAAACAGTTTCATAATTTGATGTTATTTAATTGATCACCTTGCTTGTGGAGTCAGTGCTCTCACTGCTATCACTTTGCTGCTCCTCTTGTCCTTTTTCTGTCTGGTCAATCTGTGTTCTAAAATCTGCAACACACAGTCCCATATCTAAAATAATATATACACATATTAAAATAATAAAAAAGATGCTATATTTCTTTCAAAGATTGTAAATGCCTAAATGCATAACGGTTTCATGTTCTTTGAGAGTAATAAACTCTATAGAGCACATACCCACTTCATCTTTTCCATCTTTAATCTCTTTTTTAATGGACACTCTTTTTTGTCTGTGCTCTCTCTCTGTATCTGTATCCAGAGATACACAATCAGACAAAGTTTCCCTTGATTCGGCTTCACAGATGCCCTGTCCAGCAGGTTGTGACTGGCTCAGAGCCCCTTTGTGGTCTGTGATTCGCAT